TAATAGAAATGAAAAAGATAAATAAATAAGCAAAAAATAAAAGAAAATAATAATAATAATAATAATAATAATAATAATAATAATAATAATAATAATAAATGTAGATATAAGTCTATATAATACACAACAATAATAACAATGGCGAGGGGGTAATAATAATAATAATAATAATAATAATAATAATGATGATGATGATAATAATATAATAATAATAATAATAATAATAATAATAATAGTACAAGATGAAATACCTATTAAACTTAAATAGTAAAAGTAAAAATATCATGAAAATATCATGAAAATGTCATGAAGTAAGCATAACTTTTATTTTATAATTTAAATTAAAAAACCAATAATTTATCAAAATTTAGAAAACATGACTTGATATAATACAAATACCTTTCATACATTTGATATTCATATTTTTTGTTAATATAACATTGCATAGATCATAATAGTAAATATAATAGTTATGTGAAACGTGGAAATCTTTAAGTATCCTTTGTCTCGGGTTAAAATCTATCCTCTGTAATCCTTGTCTTTACTGGAGGGCCGAAATGTAAGTTTCATTAGCGCATTGTCTTTCGCATGAGACGTTTCAACCGTGCAATGTTATGATCCAGGTGGACGTTAAAGAACATTTAAAAAAAACTATGGAATTTTCCCGGTGACTACCCGATTCGCCATCAGAAGAAACCGTTGTTTTTATAATTTCCTTGATTCTTGCTGTATTCACAACAATGAAAACCAAAACTAATCCAATATTTTTTATAATGTACAGTTAATATCCGCATGATTATGTCATGAAATAAAGATTGATGCTAATGCCATTGTTCATTTTTTCTCAATAGTTTAAAAAGTTTTTAATGAATATAGTCCATTCATGTGCAATCGTTATACTGGATTCAATACCTGGAAAATAAAGTTCAGCAAATGAATATATAAACATATTACGTAATTGATTTAGCACTGTCTTTCATGAGCTAAAAAATCTGGAAAATTCAATTCCATGTTTGAATTGTGTAACTTGTATATTTCAATTATTAACTAACAATTATACATTTACGGGCATTTAAATTATACCTTTATTCTATTCTTTTTCATAGATCCGGTCCTTAAATTGGCTGGTAATCAATTTAAGATTTTTTGCAATAAAATGTCTGTAAGTCAGCGAAAATTATTTTGTTTCAAACTTTGGACGTTCATACCAGTTTAAGTCTATTTGATTGAGGTTGTTTAGGCAGACAATGCATGTTTAAAATTTTACAGGCGAAATAGATACTCAATTTCGCTTGAAAGTGGGGGTGGAAATCTACAGGGGAAGAACTTGGACCACGGGAGAGAAGTTGCTAGTGAATGCAAAAGAGACAACATATCTAAATGGTAGGGACCGAAGACACCGGGACAACACTCTGTGGCGGATTCAAGGGGCCCGGGCCCCTCTCAACATTTCAAAATGATGTTAAAAAATGAAGTTTAAGAGTGCTATTTCAGACAATCTAGAGGTGTCATAGTCAAAACTGTTCTTGCCTCAGCCACAACCATGGTGGAACTGATGTGGAATAAAGCCTTCATATGTAAAATTCGTCCCTTGGATCCCTCTATTTTGGATTCCTGGATCCGCCACTGACACCTAAATTACAAATCAAGTTATAACTTTTCATTACGCACATTTTTGCTCGAAAACGATTTATATAGGCCCTAATAACAAGATTCTTAACAGTAACTATGTTCTTATAGCAAGTTATCGTGAAATTACAAAGGTCATTACATCTTTAAAATGTGAATATTTCGACATATTCTTTTCGTTCGTCAAGTCGGTTATCAAGATTGAATGCAACATGTTCTCAAGTATTCCATCGTGGAAGAATAGCCTGGTTCTTGTTCTGGTTGGTAAAGATCGACTTCCAAAGGAGTCAAAAAGTGTAGGAGTAAAATAGGAGGGGAAGAAATAGTGTCGAATGACAGTACAGGTCCATCACCGCAGTTTAAGACGCACAGCGTCAGTCATGAGCAGGCTTGCCTTATCAGCCTCAGGCCACATTGGGCCTGATGGGTAGGAAACTCACAGTCACACGAACATCGGCTTTGAGAAGAAAACCACATTTGGTAGTGAAATCTCGGAGCGTTTAGAGGTAGAATAAGCGAAAAATTACACCTCCAAGAATGAAGCCTTCTTGAAGACTACGTCGGAAGCCAGTGGTCCAGTGATTATTCGTGGATGACTCGGGATGTCCTTCTTGAAATTATTCTCGTTTTTGCAATCTGAAAAATCTCCAAAAACTACTTTGCCCGTTAAAAAATTCAAGTATATTTTTAAAAACCTGTGATGTAAAAAAAGGAAGAGGTTAGACATAAATTAACTGACCTAAACCATTCTTCATCATTATCACCGAGAGGGTCCGCGATTGACTGATACAAATTTACAAACTACCATGGAGCTATAATACGTATTATAGGTCCATGTCAATTTGACAGATACATTACCAATATACATTACCAATATACATTACCATGAGAGGTGTCCAATTTTGTCATTCTGTCACTCGATATTCTGTTAGAATTTGTTACTGAAATTTAAACGTGGGAAACTGTTAGACTATGATTTATATTATTTTGAACATGTGGAATTGGAAATATTATTGTGAACGTCAGTGCTTAAAATAAAATTACTAAATTTAAAATGTGATTTGTATTATTTCGGTCTTATCACAATAAAAACTTTTCAAAAAGGAATATTATTATGAACGTTAGTGCAACGTTAAACCAGGAAAACTCGATTTATGCTATTTCAGATACATTACCTTGGGTGGATTCCATGCTGGTTGTTCTATCACTCGTTGGTCCGTTGGTGTTTGTAGCTGAAATATTTAAACGTGAAAAGCTTTTAGATTACGATTATTGTTATTCCGATCTCATCTCAAGAAAAATTTCAACATTAAGAGGAAATAATAACATAAATGACAATGCTTGGAAAAAAAATTATTTTTATTCAACAAATTAGTTCATTTGTTCCAAGTAGTAGATGGAGAATAAAGAGGTTATTGTAAGTTTCTTTAAATTTTTATTACGGATTGTCTTAAAAGTTTGTTTATATTTTATCTAAAAATATTGCACAGAGAATTATACCCTTTTGCACCTATTTCTAAACTGACGAGGGTTAATACGAGGTCGGAAATTTTTACAAACAATTTTGGAGCTTTAATACGAATTACAGTTCCATGTTAATTTGACATCAAAGTACATTACCATGAGTGGTTTCAATGCTGGTCGTTTTATCAGTCGATGGTCCGATGGAATTTGTTACTGAAATATAAACGTGGAAAACTCTTAGAATTTCATTATGTTATGTTGATCTTCTCACAAGAAAAACTTGCACCTTAAGAGAGAATATTATAATAAACGTTAGTGAGTAGAATAAAATTTCAATACATTTGATTAACTAAGGCGATGCTGTAAAATAAGAGGCCATTTTACATCATCATCATCATCACCAACAGTGTTCACGATTAAATGGTACACATTTACAAACTATCATGGAGCTATAATACGATATATAGGTCCATATTAATTTGACAATTAAAGGATATTACCATAAAAAGTTTGCATGCTGGTTGTTATATCGCTCGATTGTCTGTTGGAATTTGTTACTGGAAAATAAACGTGGAAAACTCTTAGACTCGATTTGTTATTTCGATCTTTTTTAAGAAAAACTTGCACATTAAGAGAGAATATTTACGTTAGCGTTTAGATTAAAACTTCAGTAAAATACCCAAGGCGCGGCTGTAAAAGGAAAGGTTAGACTTATATTAACTGACGTAAATCCTTTATCCTCATCATAATATCATCATCATAATCATTACAATCATCACCAACAGGGTTCCCGATTGTATGCTACATTTACAAACTATTATGGAGCTATAGTACGAATTATGTTGATTTGAAATAAAGGTACATTACCATGAATGGTTTCCATGTTGGTCGTTCTATCACTCGTTGCTCCGTTGGAGTCTGTTACTGAAATAAAAACGTGGACAACTCTTAGAATACATATTTATCGCTCGATGGTCGTTGGAATATGATTTATGTTATTTTATCATATCATAATATAGACTTGAACATTATGAAGAATGACGTTAGTTTTTTTGAATAAAACTCCAGTAAGCGATATTATTCAAAGGCTCTGCTGTAAAAAAAAAGGTTAGACTTATAGTAACTGACCTAAATCCTTCTTCACCATCGTCGCCAACAGGGTTGGCGATTGAATGATACAAATTTGAAGCAATAATACGAACTATAGGTCCATAATAGTTAGACATTGAGATACATTACCATGAGTAATTTCCATATTGGTCGTTCTATCACTCGATGGTGCCCTGGAATTCGTTACTGAAATACAAACATAGAAAAATCTTAGACTACGATTTATGTTATTTCGATTTTATCACAAGAGAAACTTCCACATTAAGAGAGATCATTTACGTTAGTATTCAGTAAATTATTTTAACCTAAGGCGATGCTGTAAGAGAAAAGGTTAGACTTATATTAACTGAAATAAACCATTCTTCATCATTATCACCAACAAGGTTTGCAATATTTACAAAGTCGTTCCATCACTTGATGGTCCGTTGGAATTGGTTACTAAATATAAATGTGGAAACTCTTAGATATGATTTATGTTATTACGATCTTATCACAGAAAAACTTGCGCATTAAAAGAGAATATTTATATTATCCTAAGGCTCTGCGATAAAGGAAAGGTTAGACTTATAATAACTGACCTAAACTCTTTTGCATTACCATCATACCGACAGGGTGCGCCCTTTTGAATGAATGGTACACATTTACAAACAATCATGGAGCTATAATACGAATCATATGTCAATAATTAGTAACAAAGGTACATTACCATGAGTGGTTTCCATGCTGGTCGTTCTATCAATCGATGGTCCGTTGGAATCTGTTACTGAAATATAAACGTGGAAAACTCTTCAAATACGATTTATGGTCTTTCGATTTATAGCAAGAAAACCTTGCACATTAAGAGAGAATATTTACGTTAGTAATGAGAATAAAATAATACGAATTATACGTCCATGTTAAACTGGCATAAAGGTACATTTGCATAAGTGGTTTCCATGCTCGTTGTTCTATAACTCGATCGTCCTTTGGAATTTGTCGCTGAAATATAACGTGGAAAATTTATGTTATTTCGACCTTATGCTGGTCGTTCTATTACTCGATGGTTCGTTGGAGTCTCTTACTGAAATAAAAACGTGGAAAACTTATCGCAAGAAAATCTTCCACATTAAGAGAAAATATTTACGTTAGTGTTCAGAATAAATCTTCAATAAATTACGTCAGGCGCTGCTGGAAAAGAAAGGGTTAGACTGATATTAAATGATCTAAACGATTCCTTATTATCATTACCAACAGGGTTTGCGACTAAATGGCTGGAATTATGATACGAATTAATTTTGATTTTTTGATTTAACACCAAGGTACATTACCATGAGTGGTTTCCATGCTCGTTGTTCTATAACTCGATCGTCCCTTGGAATTTGTCGCTGAAATATAACGTGGAAAATTTATGTTATTTCGACCTTATCACAAGAAAAAACTTTCTTCATCATCATTCTTGGTTTGCGTTTGACATTGACACGTTATCATGGAACTATAATACGTATAATTCCATAATAATTTATCATGCTCATTAAGAGAGAAAATGTACGTTAGTGCTTGGAATAAAAACACAGAAAGTTATATTAACCTAAGGCAGTGCTATAAAAGAAGAGGTTAGACTTATATTAACTAAATCTACACCCTTCTTCATCATAATCACCAATAGGGTTCGTGATTGAATGGTACGCATTTGGAAACAACTATGGAGCTAAAATACGAGTTATATCTCTATCATTGCCATTAAGGTACATTACCATGAGTGGTTCCAAAGCTGGTTGTTTTATCAGTCGATGGTCCGTTGGAATTTGTTACTGAAATATGAACGTGGAAAACTCTTAGATATGATTTATATTATTTCGATCTTATCACAATAACACCTTGGACATTACCAAAAATGACAAAGCTAGTATTTAGAATGAAATTCCAGAACAGTTAATTAACGTAAGACGAAGCTGTAAAAAAAGAAGTTAGACAATACTTACTGACATAAATCATTCTTATCACCAATATTGGTTTGTGTTTGAAGGGTACACATTGGCATGTTTTCATTTAATTATAATACGTGTTATAATAATGAAAAACTTGCACATTAAAAAATAATTTATGTTAGTGTTTGGAATAAGAACACAGAAAGTTATATTAACCTAAGGAGATGCTGTAAAGAAGGGGTTAGCCTTATATTAACTGATCTACACCCTTCGTTATCATCATCACCAACAGGGTTCGCGATTGAATGGTATACATTTACAAGATATCATGAAGCTATACTACGAATTATAGATCCATAATAATTTGACATCAAGTTACATTATCATGAGTGGCTTCCATGCTGGTCATTCTATCACTCAATGGCCTGTTGGACTTGTTACTAAAATATAAACGTGGAAAAATCTTAGGCTACGATTTATGTAAAACAATTCTTCATCATTATCACCAACAACAGGGTTCGTGATTAAATAGTACACATTTGCAAACAATCATGGAGCTTAAATACGAGTTATATCTCTATCATAATTTGCCATCAAGGTACATTACCATGAGTGGTTTCCATGCTGGTTGTTTTATCAGTCGATGGTCCGTTGGAATTTGTTACTGAAATATGAACGTGGAAAACTTTTAGTATATTATTTATGTTATGTTGATCTTCTCACAGGAAAAACTTGCACCTTAAGAGAGAATATTATCATAAATGTTAGTGAGTAGAATAAAATTTCAATGCATTTGATTAACTAAGAGGCCATTTTTCATCATCATCATCACCAACAGTGTCAGTGTTCACGATTGAATGGTACACATTTACAAACTATCATAAAGCTATAATACGATATATAGGTCCATATTAATTTGACAAGTAAATGACATTACCATGAATAGTTTCCATGCTGGTTGTTCTATCACTCGATTGTCTGTTGGAATTTGTTACTGGAAAATAAACGTGGAAAACTCCTAGAATCGATTTGTTATTTCGATCTTTAAAAAAAAAAAAAACTTGCACATTAAGAGAGAATATTTACGTTAGTGTTTAGATTGAAACTTCAGTAAATTACCCAAGGCGCTGCTGTAAAAGGAAAGGTTAGACTTATATTAACTGACTTAAATCCTTTATCCTAATCATAATATCATCATCATAATCATTACAATCATCACCAACAGGGCTCCCGATTGTATGCTACATTTACAAACTATTATGGAGCTATAATACGAATTATGTTGATTTGAGATAAAGGTATATTACCATGAGTAGTTTCCATGTTGGTCGTTCTATCACTCGTTGCTCCGTTGGAGTCTGTTACTGAAATAAAAACGTGGACAATTCTTACAATACATATTTATCGCTCGATGGTTCATTGGAATTTATTACTAAAATATAAACGTGGAAAAATCTTGATTTATGATTTATGTTATTTCGATCTTATCACAAGAGAATATTTATGTTAGTGTTTGGAATAAAGCTCAAGTAAGTTTTATTAACACGTTAGTGTTTAAAATAAAACTTCAGTAAATTAAAGACGCTGCTGGAAATGAAGAGGTTAGACTTATATTAACTAAGATAAAACATTCATCGTCTTCATGACACATTTACACTATCTGGAACTATAATACGAATTATAAGCCCATGTTATTTTGGCATAAAGGTACATTACCATAAATGGTTTCCATGTTGGTCATTCTATCACTCGATGGTCCGTTGAAATTTGTTGCTAAAATATAATCGTGGAAAACTCTTAGAATACGATTTGTTATCTGATCGCAAGAAAAACTTCTACATTTATAGGTTCATAATAATTTAACATCAAGGTACATTACCATGAGTGGTTACCATGCTGGTCGTTCGATCACTCGTTGTTCCATTCGTGTTTGTTGCTGAAATTATATAAACATGGAAAACTTATAGACTATGATTTATGTTATTTTGACCTTATCATACGAAAAGCTTTAGGAGAGAATAATAAAGTTAGTGTTTAGAATAAAATTCCAGTAAATTATATTAACCTAAGGCGAAGAAAACAATTCTTTTACATCAACAATGTCACCAACAATGTCACCGACAATGTTTGCTATGGTACACATTTACAAACTGTTATGGAATTATATTACGAATTATATATCTTTAATAATTTGACATCAGTGTACATTACCGTGTGAGGTTTCCATTCTAGTCGTTCCATAACTCGATGGTCCGTTGGAACTTGTTACTAAAAATAATATGTACGTGCAGAAAGTTTAGAGTATTATTTATGTTATTTTGATCTTATCACAAAAAAACTTGCACATTAAAAGATAATAGAACTCCAGCAAGTTTTATAAACCTAAGGTGCTGCTGTTAAGAAGAGGTTAGACTTTTATTAACTGACCTAAACCATTCCTTATTATCATTACCAACAGGGTTCGCGATTGAATGGCACACATCTACACTATCTAGAACCAGTAATACGAATTATACGCCCATGTTTGGGAAAAAGGTATATTACCATGAGTGGTTTCCTTACTCGTTGTTCTATCACTCGATGGTCCCTTGGAATTCGTTGCTGAAATATAAACGTGGAAGACTCCTAGACTATGATTTATGTTGTTTTGATCTTAACAAAATAATATCGGCGCTGGTTCGAACGGCACGCTCGCCTATGGTTCTGGTGGAAGAACAAGTCTTCTCGGATAAGGACTATAAACCGTAGGCCCAGTGTATACAATGGCTCGTGTGCACTATAAAGAACCCAGTACATCCTTCGAGACGAGTAGGGGGATACCCCAGTGTACTGGAACAGACAGCCCC